GAAGAAATTGATGGGCAACCAACGAAGGTTTTGGTGCAAAAGTATCAGCTGTTAAGTAGACAGAGGGCTCCGGCAGAGGGAGTCCAACCCTCAGCCCCTCCCCCCCCCCCCCCCGTTCACTCGCTACTACCCTGATTTGAAGCAGTTTCGTACTCCCCAGCCACAATGACATGATGGCCAAGGTCCCTCCTGCCAGAGTGTGAGCCTCCCCCGGCAGGGGGACTGGAGGCCGTACGCCCGGGTGATAGTGGAATGGCTGGCTGGAGGAGTTCAAACTTTTCTAGGACTATTAGATACTGGCTCTGAGATTACCATTATACCGGGAGACCCGACTAACTTGAAAGGGAAAAGATGCTTTTAGGAGGGGAATGCGTCTGTGACCGGGTGTCTGGTGACTCTGTATATTACTGTGGGACCTACCAAATGCAGATTAATGCGGGTAGTGGTATCGCCTATTCCTGAATGTATTGTAGGGATTGATGTTCTAGGGGAATGAGAAAATATCCGGGTAGGCACTCCGAACAATGTCAGACGCTTATTGGTGGGTCGTGCTAAGTGGGAACCCCTGGAACTACCGATTCCTCACCAAATTGTTAATCTTAAGCAAAGCCCTTACTATTAACAATGAGCAACATAATTTTCCTTTGCTCATCTGAATGAGTGACTTCAGAGCAAGAGGTTGAACTTGTAACGTAATACAGCTTGCGTTGTCCTTAAACTGCTGTGTTGCCTTGTGTTGTAATGAGCTGGGGAGTTTACTTTAGTTCCTATTAGAAACAAGAGCTGGGATTCCATGCAGTTCAGGGGGTTCCCATCTGGCATGGGTTTGTATAAGTGAGCAAATAAATATCAGGAAACACGTGGTAGAATTTGTTGTCACTCCTGCCCCATTTTATTCTGAAAGAGAGAATTTTTTCCCACTCATGATAGGACAACAGATAACACCACCATGCTCTTATCTGACTCTTTACATTTATAGATCTCAAAGTCCTTTAAAGTAAGGTCAGCACCATCATCCTCATTTTAGAGAGGTGGACTCTGAGGGACAGTAGTATAAAGAGTGGTGGGTGACTGGGACCCCAGCTTCAGATGCCCACTTAGAAGAAGCACATGAATGGCAGTCACTGCGACTGCTGACCTAGCTGTTATAGCCAGCCCAACTCCTGCCACCCAGGGTGCAGCACCTGGCTGTTACGCGCATAGTGGAAATGACTTGCCAAAAGTCACCTGGCAAGGTGAATGACAGAGGTAGGAAAGAATCACGTTGATGCAAAGATTGGTCATCTATGTTGAAGAGTTTGGTTTTTGCCTCTTCAGAGTTGTCCCATTATGCTGTGCCACCTATGTGTTGTGCAAGTCTCCCCATGTGTTGTGCAAGTGCTCTAGAATGAAAAAAATATAAGAGCCCTGGTACTGCCATCTACACTCCTATATAATGCTCTTTTAAACTGGCTTGGTCCTAAGGACCCGCAGGCATTGCTATTGCCTGTTGCCCATAATTCCTTGGAGGTTCTTGGTTAAAAGCTCTGCCTTAAGTGTGTAGTTTCTAAGCTTTTGTGGACATGTCTTCAAATGTTTACAGGGCCTCCCATAACACCAGACTAACTCTAGTTAAAAGCATAAGATTTATTAACATAAGCCTGCCAAGATAGTAATACCAAGTAAATCAGTAATGTGTGATCACACAAATTATTATGACTTTTGTGTATCTGTGCATATAAACAACCCCACACCTATTAAAATAATTATTTTCCTTCTGGAACACCAATTCTACATTATTCAAGAGCCTTGTGTCTGTTCTCTATTTTTTCTCATGACTTCACTGATGCCTTTTAAATACCATGATCTCTCCGTCAAACAAATGCATCCTCTCATCTGCTTTTCCTTCACTTGATTCTGTGATTCTGCTCTGTTCTCCTCCTACTTTGCTCCCAAGTTTGTCTGCCCTATTTTCTATGTTCACTACCCCACTTTCCACAACAACCACGCAACATACCTCAGCCATCATTCTTTAAATGGGTCAGGAAAATACCTGTATCTGAACTCTTGGAGAAGTTCTGATTACAATTCACATCGGAGTTCCTCAGGCCCATATATTTTTCGTTTCTTGTTCACCTCTTTTTCCTTTATGTGTTCTCCCATGGTATTAACTACCACCTCTAGACAGCCAGTTCTCACATTTTTTACTTTGAAATGTGTTCCCTCGTCACTCTTACATGTCAGATTCTGTCTCAGAGTTTTCTGCTATCTCACAGTCAGGCTCTAACGCAGAGCCATTTAGTCATGTTTTGTCATCTCTCTCTCTTGTACCCTTCGTTAGCTTCCCAGCTTTACAGTAGAGCATAAAAATCAAGCAGGCTCACTATGTTTCTTCACTTACTTCCTCCTTTTTATTTCCTCCTTTGTTTCTCTGTTTTCTCCTTATGACCCCATTTTTTTTCCTTTGAATTATCTCTCTCTCCCATCTTCTACATTTAAAATAATGTTCTACTTTTAACCCACTAATCTCTGATTTGTGATCCTTCAATCCTTAAGATTTTTTCTAAATCCTGAAGATCTTGTAAAATCTTTCCTGTCTTGTTTTCTTCATCAGTAAAATTGGCACACCTGCATTTTCATGAACACTTCCCATTCTGCATCTTGGGATATGTGTATGTGGTTCAGTGCAGTGCCAGGTGGATACTCAAGTTAACTCTAAACAATCAGCATAAAATAAAATATGAGGAGCACTGTGCTAAACTGGTTAAGTTGCTTCCAATACCCAAAATAGATTCTTTGCAGTTAGCTAGAGTACGTCTACAAGGCACTATTTTGTGCTCTGTAGATATACCCAAATTATTAGGTTTCTAGGTTAGCTCTATAGACTTTTTTAATGCGTGACATACATTTATACTACACTATAAATAATTATTAACAGTAAGTCAGTTAAGAAGGGACTTCAGTTTCCATGGCCATTAGGCGCTCAGTGGCTTACCTGCATCTGAAATGAATGCCAGTTATGGTATGTTGTTCCAACCTGAACACTAGCCTTTAGGAAATGCTTGAAAAGAAGCGGTTCATTTCATAAAGGTTACATAAGTAAACTTCAAATGGAAACAACTTTCAGTTGCAATTGATCTGGTCCTCCTTTAAACCTCTGACCTCCTACAGGTAAGAGGCGTCATATGTCACTACCAGTTTCCCTAGGATTTCTTCTTGTTCACACCACAGTGTTTCCTAACCTTCACCCCACTTCATGCCTGCAATTGCTAAAAGAAACTTTTGAAAATTATAGTCTTTGATTTTCCTGAACTTTGCTCCCCCAGTGAAATAAAGTGTTTGTGCTAACAACAACATAAAGCTTTAGCAGTGCAAAAACAGAAGTTAGACTTAAGCGTAGTTTTCCTTTGTATGATGGTTGCAAAAATGACACTGCAGGGGGTTTTTGTTTCTTCTTTCAGTGACTCCACAGCAATTTAGTTTGCAATTCAAAAGATCCATTTTTTCTGGTAGTGCAGTAAACTCACACTGGGGTCAGAAAGTCCATCTGTGTTCTTTATGCCTAGAACACCCTCACCACTAGTAAAGACTGTACTTGCAATGCTCATTGCTCTGTTTTAAGGATGCTACAGTAGGTGGGAAAAATCAAGCTCATTTTCCCACAGCTGTATAGCTAGTGCAGTGTTTAGAGTAAGAGTAATAAAAATTTACCTGTCAGTAAAAGCAGTAAGCAGTAGAAGACAAGTTCAACATAAACACATTTCTCACTTCGGCCTTCCTAACTGTTAAGATGTGAGGAAATTAAAAGGGACAGGAGACGCACTGTATCTTAATACAAGTGAGTGGATTATCTTTCTGACTCTGCTCAGTCTTCATGAATAGAACAATATCGACCTGCTATACCACTGCAGTTTATGCATTGGTGAGACATGGTAATGCATATTTCTGATCAGATTTTTTAAATGAATTTAATGATAAAAAAGATGTTGTAAATTTCCACAGACAGCTCTCATTTCCTCACTGAATATTCTTCCTCCTTTAAACAGACCCTTTCTATAAACACTTAAGTACCCATGCCCATTTTTTCCTTTCAAATGATTCTACCAGTTAGGGGACCTGACAATTGCCAGTTGTGGTAATGGGTTTCTTCTCTGTCTAATGTAGATGAATGGCTCTCCTATCATAGTATTGGAAGGGGACTCCGTATTCTTTAATATATTTACTCTACTAGATAGCTAAGCTTTAAGCACACTGGCCCAGAGGGGGTGCATCTACATGAGACATTTACTGTGGAGTAGACTAATTAGCTCAGCAGTAAACTTTGCATATCTACACATGTGCCCCTATTAGGCTGAAGTAAACTAATTACCACTGCAGCAGAATAGTACTGGTATTACAAGTACTATCCTGCTGTGGAGTTTAAGCTGCAGCAGTGGACATGAAGATACTGCCCCAGCTGGCTGGAGCACAAGGGTGCTTAAGTGAGTGGGCTGCCTGCTGGCTCATGCCTGAGCATGCTGAGCCAGGCTGAAGCAGCCCCAGGCTGGTAGGCTGATCCCTGGGGCCTCCTGGGCGTGCAATCAAATGGTGTGCCTGGGAGCAACAAACTCCGAAGCAATGAACATCAAAGTTTATTGCTTCGCATTAACTGCATGTGTAGATCTGTCACCAAGCTTAGACTGAAATGGGTCACCAAGCTTAGACTTTTGTATTAGGTCTAAATAAGGATCACATGGGAAGTCTTTGGAGCAGAGTTTCACTCTGTAGCCCCATTACTCCCAGGTTAGTGCCCCAAACACTAGATCAGGGCTTTCACTGCTAAGACTATGGGCAGAAGCTATGATCATTCACTACCAACCTAGGCCCAATTTGTACTGACAGTGTACAGCTAAAAAGCCCTTTGTTCTGTCACTTTTTCCATCAGCCATTAAGTTCTAGGTCTCCCACATTATTCATTAACACCTGTTCACCTTCTCTCCAGTACTGATGCTGTACTCTACTCTGTCTGCTAATATTTGCAGAAGGCTCATTCATGGAACTGTGTTGCTCAGCATGGCATTGTACAATCACCTTCCAACAACAATGCTCGCACCGGGTATCTGTAACACAAGTTTGCCAGCACCAGTCACACTGCAGGTAAGGATTTCTTTGGGACAAAAAGCATCTTTAAAATAAATATTGTCTGAGTCCATGTTTTTTCCACATCACAACAATTAAAAATCTTTGCTCTTCTGTTTGAAGAGAGGCCCCTGCTTCAATAATATAACCTCCTTTAGAGGGTGAGGGGAGAGTGTGATGTTACATAACAGCAACTACACATGGTAGTTTCTAGATTTAGTAAAGGCTGTGGGATTGGGAAAGGTCTGCCCAGAGAAAATTATTATTTTTATTCTATGTTCAAAAATACCCAAGGCACAAATAGCTAATGTGGTACCTGACTCACAGCGGCCTTTTCAATCTGCACTTTTATTCTGTGTACTATTGAATTGCTTCCTATTACATACATAGCATGCAACTAGCAATTAACTGAATCTTCAGAAAGATCTATGGGGGATGGAGCTACAAACAAAAGGCCATATATATCTATACTGCTCTTCATCCCAGTCAACATGATGAGTTTTCACTGATGTCAATATCAGCTGTGTGCAATCAAGGGCAGCATATGGCTTCCAAATATTGAAAAGACATTTTGTGCATCTCCAGTGTTGTCTTTTCCCCAGACTGAATTAGCAACTGTGTATTTATAGGCAAAGCCAAGAGTGTTTCATATTAAAACACTGAATTATCATCATTAGCAGATGAAACACAAAGCTAAATTGAATGAATAAATGAGGCTGGCTTATATTTAAATGGATAAGAAACAGGATTTGCTGGTCAGAAGAGTGCATTTAAGAAGCTACCTTGAAATAGCTTTCTCCTATTAATAATAAAGGAAGGCAAGACAGTAAATGGCTGCTAATTTGAAATCTCTCTCTCTGGTCAAAGAAACAGAAGAGGAAGATCCTGTCCTTCCTTGCCACCATTCTCAGACTATGTGACAGTAGCAGATGCTGTGAGTGTACTGGAAATGCTACCCAAAAAACTAGCTTTTTAAATTTGACTAGCATGTACATCCCTGGAGTTTTCTAGGGACCAGTTTTTGTTAACAGTGTTGGAGAGAGTGAATACTGGTATATACTGATTAGAAACGCTACTTTTCTGGTCCCACGGAGAATGTTTCTATCATGGTGCCAATTAGGTGTTAAAACCAGGATGGGCAGGTTGAACTGGTTTAACAAAAAAAAAGTCTGAACATCCACCTATCCCTCCAACCAAATCCTGAACAATTCTGAGCCCAAGAGTTATCCAGTCCCTGGTTGCTGCAGCTACTGCTGCTGCCACCACTACATGCTCTGCCCACCCCAGCTCTTGCTCTTAAAGCAGCAGCAACAGCTTAGTGTCCCTACACCTGGCTACTGCTGCAAGAGCATCCCTATGGGCTACTTTTATTGCCAGGTCATGGACTCCACAGGGGTGAGGAACCTCTCCTAAGTTGGCACCTGGGGCTGGTACCCCTCTCATGCATCCTTAGTTATGGTACTGCTCTTGGAGAGTTTTTGTACAGTCTCCTAATACATAAAGTATCTTTTCTTTTTTTCCTGTCCTCTCCCTTGCTTTTAAGATTGACTTTCCAGAAACTAATTTGGACTTCATTAAACCAGAGCCTGAGGAGGAAAGAAATGACCTTGAAGAGCCAACTAAAGAGTGCCTGAAGCATATCAGACAGTTTTCACAGAAGCATTCTCTCTTGCTGTAAGTCTACCCAAGTCTTTCTCATTTCTTCTTGTCTGACAGTTATGATGCAATCATTCATACTTAAGTGTATTCTTTAAAACTAGATATTTTTCAGCATCTTGAGCCTGCCTTGATTCATTTGATAAAGTAACACTACTAGATAAAGGAAAAGATGGCACCGAAGCCAGAATAAACACCTGAGGGTAGCAGTGCCTTCTCCGTATCTTCAACTTTTCCCCCCCAATGCAGGCTTTTATCTTTTCTGAACCTTGACGTTAGAATCAAAAGGCTGATATAAAGCACAAACAGATGTTTGCAGCAGTATTAGCAATTAAAAGAAATTGGTCTGGATTTGAACCAGCACCACTAATAATGAGAAATCTAAGCTATAAGGCCATCTGTGCCAAGTGGCATTCAGCCATTAGAAAGATGGTCTGTCTCAGGTTCCTTGGTAAACAAGGAAACAATTATGCAGAATTTAGCTTTTACAGCACACGCACAAAGAATAAGTGAAACAAAATATGTTGTATCTACTGAGGCAGATCAGTAGCCCTAGACGAGGGTGGACAATTATTTGGGCTGGAGGGCCTCTTAAGGAGTGTCGGTGAGTTGTTGAAGGATTGGGTGGAGGAAGGTAATTCATCCTATCCAGCCCACCAGCTATCACTGGGAGCCTGAAGAAGGAGGGTTGTGCCCCGCACTGTTCCACTGTGCCACAGCCACATCCGAGGCTGGGTCTAACTGGGCCATGTAGCAAGCAGACTCGTCCACTCACCCTGCATCTATTCCCCCTCCACACCTAACTTCCTGCTGGTGCTGTGGCTGCACAGTCCTGGCACCATGGCCACCAGCAGCGACGCCCACACATGATGGGGTACTGAGTATTCCACCTGTTCACTGCAATGAGCTGCTGTTAGCGCCATGCTACACCAGGGAAGTAATAGATTTAATATACATTAGTGCTGGAAGGGACCTCGTAAGATCATCATGTCCAGCCCCCTGCCCAAAGGACAGGAAGTCAGTTAGGGTCAAAGGATTCTTGCAAGATAAGCATCCAAATGTTTTTTTAAAGTATCCAGAGTAGGTGCTTGCACCACCTCTGGGTGTAGTCTAGTCCTGGCCTTGGGGCCTTGGACAATAAAGAAGTTTTTCTGTATGTCCAGCCTAAAACGGTCTTGCAGGAGTTTGTGACAGTTGGACCTTGTCATCCCCTGGGGTGTTCTGGTGAACAGGTGTTCCCCCAGATCCTGAAGCACACCCCTTATGTACTTATAGGCTGCCACTAAGTCATCCCTGAGCCTGTACTTCTCCAGGCTTAAGAGTCCCATAGCTCACAGCCTCTCTTCATAAGGCCTGTTCTCTTGACCTCTGATCATGCATGTGGCTCTCCTCTGGACTCTCTCAAGCTTCTCCACATCCTTCTTGAATTGTAGAGCCCAGAATTGGATGCAGTACTCCAGCTGTGGCCTCACCAAGGCTGAGTACAGGGGGAAGATGATATCCTGGGTCTTGCTTAAGATGCATCAGTAGATGCAAGCCAGAGTTTTGTTTGCTTTGCCAGCTGCAGTACTACATTGGTGGCTCATGTTCATCTTGTGGTCAGTCATGACCCCTAAGTGTCTCTTTTAGTCATGGTGCTAGCGAGTGTAGCATTGCCCAGCATAAAAGTGTGATGTGGGTTTTTTTTTTCCTGAAGTGAAGCACCTTGCATTTCTCTGTATTGAATGCAATCAGGTTTTCATCCGCCCACCTTGCAAGCCTATCGAGGTTGGCCTGGATCACCAGGCTATCCTCAAGTGTAGATACTCTTCCCCAAAGTTTGGTGTCATCAGCGAACTTGGCCTGTCCACTTCTGATACCAGAGTTCAGATCATTTATAAAGATATTAAAGAGTACAAATCTGAAAACAGAGCCTTGGGAGACAACACTGGTCACTGACTGCCATTTTGATTCAGTTCCGTCAACTACCACTCTCTGGGTCTGACCTCAGAACTAGTTCCCCAGCCATTGGACTGTGGTATAGTCAAGGCTGCAGTTGCCCAATGTTTTCATGAGGACATCATGGGACCTTCTTGAGACAGGTAGAGTTCATCCATGCATGTGAGGAAGGTTTGATACTGATCAGATTTGGATTGTGAGCAGCAGGTTGCAAAGAGCACAACCCCTAGTTGGCCTCTCCAATACTTCTTTACTTAGGGCCCTAGGCACGTGCCTAGTTTACCTATGCATTAATCTAGCCCTGCCTGCCTGTTCTTCCTGAAGAGTTTATATCCATCCATGACAGTGCTCCAGTCTTGTGAGCTGTCCCACCAAGTCTCTGTTATTCCCATCATGTCATAGTTCCATTACCTGTGCAATGACTTACAATTCTTCCTACTTCTTTCTCAGGCTCTGTGCATTTGTGTACAGACACCTGAGGTAACCAGATGATTGCCCTATTTTCTCAGGAAGAATAAGAAGGCCTCCCCTATCACTCCATCCTGCTTTTGCCTCCGCCAGGCCACCTGGTTCCCCACTTGCCTCAGGGCTTTGGTCTCCACCCCTCTGGCAAACTCGTACTTCCCTTCTGAAAGTGTTTTGCATATTACCCTTGGGGTGAAGATTATGAGGTCCGAAGGGAAGTACTAGGTCTATGAAAAGTGTTCATTTGCCTCTGTCCTTTATCGTTTCCTGTGGTTGTTCATTCTGAAGCACACTTTTGTCTTGTTTTACTTTTATGGTTTCTGTGAGGGTATTTGGTGCACTGAATGAAAGAGACATTCTGGGATAAAGGTGTGTAGGACCCATGGATTCAGATGGGAACAGCTATAGGCCCAAAGATGCCACCCCCAAATATGCCAACCTGAGGTTTACACAAACAGTGGTTCTATCAGCTACTTAGCTTGAACTGTGGCTACTTCTTTTCCAGACCTAAGGAAGGATAGCTTGGGCCCAAGAGCTTGCCTAAGATCTCTCCCAACTATACAGTTGGTCCAATAGAAGAAATCACCAAAAAAATCCTTGCCCATTTACTGTCTAAAATAATTTGTAGAGATAACCAGAGTAGAATTGGTGACATCAAAGTCTGCTGGTTGTCATTTTACCAGTCACAGTTAGTTTTGCTCATTAATCCTTTATCATAGTCAGAAACTGCCATAATAATGCAGTAATTAACATCAAGCTGTGCTAGCCATCTTGGTACTGCTGCATGATTTGCAGGTGAAGAAGATTTTATTTAGTGATTTCTGTTTTGGAAAAAAAGTTTTGTAAAGAAAAAGAAAATAGTGATGTATAAAAAGTTAATACATTTATAAATCTCTTATCTTCCTGTTGAGAGAGAATGTAATTTAAATTTATTTTCCTTTAACCATGCTCCCAAAGATTTGGTTTTGTTTGATTTGTTTTTGGGTTTTTTTTCCTGGTAAGTAAGATTAGGACTATTTAGTACATGGATGGAATTCTTGTAAGGAAAACATGGGCGCTACAAGAAGTGGTATTAGTAGACAATCTAGACTTTCAAGTTAATATAAACTCCAAATTACTCCACAGTGTGTTACAGGGTATTGCTTTGATGGAAGAAATGGCTTCTGGATGAGAACAGCAAATGAGATCTCATCCAATCATAATAGCTCTCAGGGTCAGTGGGTCATTTAAAATGTCTTCTCCCCCTCTCCCTCCCCCCACCCCAAATCAAGAGTTTCTTGCATATCAATAGTGCCATTCACTTCTTTTCCTTAATTTATACCACTGATGGCACCACTTGAGTATAAGCTGTGCCATCCCTTTTTAAGCATAGTCATTATGGAACATTCCCTTACATGTACAGAATATTCTGGTACACTGTAATTCACTAAATTTTTTGGAAATTCATTAAAGGTGGTTATCTTCAAAAATGTATTAGACAGACTATTAGTAGGAGTAACAAAAGTTGTATTTCACTAATGGAAATTTCGGGATTTGTCACAAGTGGCAACCTGGATACATTAATGCTTCCATGACTGCCAATGGACATATAATCCAATTTCTTGTTCTGCTTTTTGTACTTTATTAAGTCTGTTCTTAGTGGTCTGAGGCAATCTCATGTGTGGGTTGTATAATTTCTGTGAAATTGCTCCCAAAGAGCAATGCAGGGTTTTAATGCAAAAGATCCATACTTATGGGGCAATTTATATTTAGGAAGGCTCCTAAGCCAGGTACTTTTTACTGCATCTGTGGCAGAGGGGAAGGCAGCCCTTGGATTTTTTAACAGCTATAAGACAGGTTTCTGTAAATCACTTGTGAAAAGTCAATCTGTATCTAATCACATTTTTTACCATTAACTTGCATGGGTTCTTCCTTCTTTCTTTTTTGTATTTCAGGTGTTCTGTAGAGAAAAAAGGAAAAATTGGGAGGGGGGGGTGGCATTTGATGGCAGTATGGCCTTAAAGCACGCATTGATTACAATCCTTTCACTCAGACGTGATTTAAAAATAGGAAAACATTAAGTTAGAAGAACATTGACTCAGAAGAAAGAAGGAAACTTTCACCCCAAAAGTGGATTGCATGTGCACATGTGTATAAAAGGACTGTGAAGACACTCCTGTTAGCTAACCATGTAGCTGAAAGGGAGTCCCCATTATGAAGGGGAAAAGTTGTGCTCCTCCAACTGAGGTCTCTTTGCCTACATCATTGCTGTGATGAATCAGTGTCCATGCATATTGTTATGATGCCCTTAATTTATTAATTTTATCCTTTTGATCTCTTTAGAGTAATCTGTAATGTCTAATCTGTAACTTCTATAGCCTATTCAGGTTATCAAAATTGTGATACTGGTCAACACTGGGACATTCTCAAGAGCAAGTTATACTTGGTTGAGATGGTTTAGTCAGGGATGATCTTGCGCACACAAGTTGTTCAGGGTAACAGTCTAAGTCTTATATTTATTAACAGTTAAATGGCAAAGTACGCAATGCTTTGAGCCAAAGTATGGTAGAAACTTGGTTGTTAAGAACTGTGACAAGCAGCTTTTAAGAGTCCTACTCAAGTCATTATAAATGGTA